AATAGTAAACATCAATATAAAATTCCATAAAATTTTCAAAAAGTCATAAGTATGCAAAATGATATTTAAGAAAAAAATTTAGAATTAAGAAATATCAGAAAGTATTTTAAGGTAATTAAAACAAAGCAAACAATGCAAAAAATATATTAAAAAAATATCAATTGTCAAAATAAAAATATGAAAAAATATGCATGAGATCAGAAATAATTCAAAGTATTTTTGTGAATTTTTTCATAATTTTTGGATTAAAAATAAAAGAGTTATAAATTTTTGAATATTAAATCAATTAAAATTTAAAATCAGAAAAATAAATAAAACCAAAAAGATATGGGCCATCAGATCGTAGTCAAAACGCGTTAGTAAGCTAATCCAATGGACCAGACGTGTTGTGCTTGATATGGACCTTAGTAAGATGCGCAGGGAATCAGAAAAAAAGCAACCAATGAAATTAAAACGTTTGGCACGCTATCATTGGCTGAGACGAGACATGCCATCATCTTCAACCTCCAGCCACCCTACAATGGAGATTTTGTGAGATCTTTCAAACGGTAAAATTAAGATCCCAGACCAGTGTCATTGGATTCGTCTCTTCAAGACGATCCTAACACCACCATCGCGCCAAATTTATATAAAGTATACAAAGAGATATGAGTCAAAAACCCCAGAAAATAGCGAGCACCTTCAATTTGAGATTTCTCTCTCAATTCTCAATGGATTTAAAAATTGTAAGAAGCACTAGAATCAGGAGAAGTAGTGGAACAGGTTAGTGCTTTATTTGGATCCAAATGGTGGAGAATTCTACCTTTTTGAAGTTCAAGAAAGAAGCTCTGAAACTGGACTTCTGTAGCTTGGATTATAGCTCGTTTTTCTTGGTTTAAGTGCTGGAGAGTTTGTATGATGCTTAAGGAAGATGAATGTGCAAAGAATTTTGGAAGAAAAGGCTGGAATCTCAGAAACTGATTTCAAAAATTTAAAGTTCGTGTGAGGTTTTGACAGAGTATTTTTGGCTCTCAAAGCTTGAGGAAATGAATGGGGGATGACCCTCTATTTATAGGGAATCAAATGGAATGCTCAAGCGTGTGAAGTGATGGAGTTTGGAGGGAAATCGTGTGAACCTGATGCATGAGCAAAGTGTGATCTGATTTCCATCAAAACTCATCCAATCCTTGCGTTTTAAGGCTCTAATCCACTTTGGAAACTTGGTTAAACATATTTAGATCATAAACGCATGCTAATTTGATGTTTAGAGACCAAAACATGAATTTCAAATTCTGACTTATGAAGAAACTTCAGTTCCAAGTTACCAAGTTCAATCCAATGGCATTCTCAGCTCAAGGTGTCTTAAGGCATGATTCTTGATGATTTAGAAAGATGAGGTTACAAGCTTTGTAATGGAAAAAGAATGGAATCAAATGGATGCTTGAGCTGAAAGTTGCATTGAGTCAAAGTTGGGGAAAATGTTGACTTTCCATACTTAGAAATATTTCAAATTTTTCTTCAAAAGTGACCTATAATGTTTTGCATCCAAACATGGCCTTCCACTTGGAATTTGCTCTTGACCAAAAAAGATGGCATGAAATAGACCTCTTGAATGAAATTTTGAAACTTTAACCATTCAAAATCTCCAAAAACTGAGAGAGTTATGAATTGTTGAAGTTGGCAAAAAATCATAAAATGACCTATAATCTTTTGTATCCTTAGGGTATCTTCCATCCATTTTCTCACTTTGCACATAAAAGAAGGCATAAATTTCACATCCTCAATATCATTATGGAAAAAGAATGGGCTCAAGGTGATAAAAATTGACCAAGTTATGATCATTTGAAGTCACACATGGGGAAATGGGGGTTCATCTGGAGGACTTGTAATCTTTCTTCATTATCAAGTTTCTTCCATATGAAAACTCCTTGAAACTTTTGAAGTGATTTGTTGATAATCATTTGAAGATAAGGATGTCTTTGGAATCACTCAAAAATACCAAAAGATGAGCAAGATATGCTTCTTTGAAGTTCAAAACCCTAGCTCTTAGATCAAGAAAATGCTTTGAGGAACCTTGACAATTTTGAACAAACTTATTGTACCAACATAACTGCTTTGTAAATAGAAGTTGTTGAGGATTAAAATGAGAACTCATAGCCACCAAGACCACTTTCATATCTTGAGAATTGAGAGGAATATGCACTTGTGATCAATGGGAACAAGACTTTGTCAAACCATGACAACTTCTTCAATCAATCCCTTGCACTTTTGAATCAATCTTGATATCATGGGAATGTAGTGAACCAAAATAAACCTTGCCATGCCATCTCTTCCAAAACAACTTCAATGATGAGGTTTGTACTTCTCAAGATTTATTGCCTAGGGCATGGAAATAAACTCATGAACCCATGGAGCAACTTGCTAAATCTCATTGCCTTTACCTACATTAGTGACAAGCAAGATAAACCAACATTGAATTTTATTAATTAAAAGGAAAAATCAAGACAAAATATTCATGATCACAAAAGAAAATAAGTCAAGGTGCTTGGTGATTCCTCAAAGAGCAAAGCTAAAGGTAGGGAGGAGAATCAAGAACCCTAATGTGATCTTGTTGTGATTGAATCAATATGATATGATGAAGGGATCTTAGGGGAAAAAATTGAGGTACAACAGTAACCAAAGCAGCTGCTCCCTAACTATAACCCTGAAGGTTATCCAAGTTCCTAAATAACAACAAATATCGTGCCTCGACAAGTGTAAACGTCTTGTCCGCAAAAATATTGCAACCAACCAATATCAGCATATATGCTCTGGTCGCATATGCCCAACTAAAAGTAGCTTGATCTCTACGAATAAGTTGTATAACCACTCTAGCTTATAATAAGCACTCTTGCATCCTTGTACATGTCCTGCTACAACAATCGGTGACACTCCTAAGTAGTCAATAGCAAGATCAACAACATCTTCTTCTTTGACATATTCAGGGCTTTAGAAGTTACCTCGAATGGGCAGGTGAAGCAGACAAGCGACATCATCCAGAATAATCGTCATCTCACCAAATAGCATGTGAAATGAAGATGTCTCCAGATGTCATATCTCTACAAACGAGGATACCAAGTTCGGGTCTATCTTTGACAAACTTGTTCTCTGAAGAGGAGTTAGACTAGAGTTAGACATCCATCTCTCCATTTCTCGTGGGAGATTAAGTGGAACCCAACCCTGAAGCTTCAGCCCATGTCCTACAACTTTCAATTCTTTCTTCGGACCTCTCTCCCGAAAACATAAACACACATATTATTAAAGACGGTAAAAATTAAAATTTTATTCAACATAAAATAGTCATTTACTTACCTCACTGATCCATATACGTCGAGCACAATGTTGCTCATACATAACCAGAAGAGACGTATCGTATGGCTCTCTTGGAAAGCCGACAGACTGTGGAGCAGATGCACCAACATGCTTTTCCTCTTCAGACATAATCTGTGGATTGCTTCGTCATAGCCTACGAGGAAACCTATCGTCTCTGCCAAATATTCGCATTTTGAAATTTTCAGATATTAAGTCGTAAAAAAATTTAAAAAAACTAAAAAAAACAAATCGGAACACATTCTGAAAGTGTTTCGACGTGCAAAAAATCGAATAAAACTGGAAGAGTTTATGAAAGTGTTCCAGTGTGTCCAATCAAAATCGAAACAGTTTTCAAAAGTGTTCTGGTATGTCGCAATCAAAATCGGAAAAGTTTTCAAAAGAGTTCCGGCTAATACAACTAAACCAGAAGAGTTAATAAAAGTGTTATGATGCACTAGATAAAATCGGAAGACTTACTTGCAGTGTTCCGATGTGTGAATTTGTAAATCGAAAAAGTATGTAAAAGTGTTCCGAAATGTGTTTCGTTCTTAGAGCGTTTCAGAAGAGTTTTTTAGCATCAAAATGGAAAGTGAAATTTTTTTAAAATTTTACTACTTATATGAAGGGCATTTTCGTCCAAAATTTTCAAATGTTGAGATACAAATACAATTGTAAAGATACGAAATAAAATTTTCATCATTTAAAAATACATCTCCGAACACTTTTTTTATACACATATTTTAACATAAATTATTAAACCACTCTTATTTTACAAAAATTTGAGTATGTCCAAAATTGCATCTCCAAAGAAATTTTTTAGCAAAATGGAATGATCTCAAAATCACACATTTTGGTGTAATTAAATGTCTAGAAATGCATCTCCAGACACTATCCGACAACACATTTTCGGACAATTTTTTTAACAAAATGGTATAAATCTCATAATAACACATCTCCAGACACGTGAAGGAAATTATTTTTGAATTTTCAAGAGTTTGTAATACACACATAAGGGTGGAAAGAGCAAACCCCGAACCTTTTTAATGGACATAACAGAATTAAAAGCCTTTTTAATGGACATAGCAGAATTATATACCCTTCAGCATTATTTATTTTACTAACAATAGTATTAATAGATACGTATACATCTTTAAAAGTCTGAGCATGTGTTAACCTTAAAAATACAACTTGATTTTTGGGTCAATAGGTGTTTACTTCCAAATGTATGAAAAACAAAACATTGCTTCCAAACATCTAATCCAACCATTTAAAATTAGACTTCAAGCAATCCTTGGCCTATTTCTATTCATCACTAATAGTAGTTCTTATACAAATCATTATAGTTAAAAAAGGGAAAGATCCAATCAAGTCAATTATGTTTAACATTCAATACTAAATACGAAATGAACGCCCAACACATTCTTTCCCATAATCCATAAACAATATAATGATAATCAAACCCATAGAAAACAGAGATACTCGACTTGATCAGATTCTGTTGTTGATATCCATGGGTTCAGTAGAGTCGATACGAACTTTCTGCATATTTAACACAAATGCCAAAACGTAACCACATTTTTCAAATTCACTCCACCTAAAAAGATCAGCAGCAAAATGTAATAAAAGCAACATACTTGAAATATAATGGCATACTAAAATTTCTATCAAGATCAAGCCTTTGTCAAGCTGAACATATTTCCATAAAATTTAGCCTGCTTTTTATTGTACTCCTTTACCATTTCCTTCAGATTCCTGTACTCCAGCTTTACTTCCCTGATTCATATCAACAACAATTAGTATTGAACTATTTCCCGAAATCAAAAGCAACAGATTGCGATAAATAGTATTGAATCACATTCGAAGGTGTTTGTTCTGTGCATATACCTGTTGTCAGGTTCAACCTCAAGAGCCTTTTTAACATCAATTTCAGCCAAATCTAAGTCACCCAATTGCATACTTGCCTGAGCCCTTCTATAGAGGCCTTTCACGTTCGTGCTCTCAATGTCCAACACCTACCAATCCGCATAAAAAATCCTCATTCTTTATGGTTCGAGAAAATAGCGATTTCTAAAGAATGAAGAAACAATTTAGTACCTTAGTACACAATCTCTCTGCATCTTTGTACTCTTTCAACTTCAACTTGCAAGCAGCGTTGTTTAGATAGGACGCGATCTTCAACGTTTTTGACAGCTTCTTCTCCTCCTCGCTGAAGGAGGAATCGTATTCGATGTTCTTCACAGCCTAAAGTTAAGTGTCAGCAAGAAAATTGTGTCACGGAAGATGCGAGAACACGTGAAACAGTAAACAAATGCATTTTTTTTTTCGAATACCTTCTCGTATCTTTTGGAAGCCCTTTCATATTTACCAGCTTTAAACAAAGCATTCCCTTCTTCTTTCTTCTTACCAGCAGCTTCAATTTTCTCTTCAGTGTTCATATCCCAAGACTCCTTCTCCTGAGAAGAGAAAGAGATTACAAATATTAGAACGAGATTACCCATGAATAAAACCATGAATATGAATATTAATAAAACAAGTGTAGAGAAAGAAATCAACAAAGCATAAATAAGTTTGTAATACATGGCCTCATGTTTAAGGTACATGATCTAAAAAAAACACCGGTGTCAAACTAGTTTTTAGCTATCGAGGTCAATTTGAATTCATTTGAGCTTATTTACTTGCATAAGCACTTGCAAAATTGCATGAGAGAGCTTACGAAAATAACATAATACAGTTACAGTATAGTTAAGGGGGCGAGGCTATGGCCTTTCTAAATAACAAAATCTATAATATAAATAATATTAATGCACGGCTGAAATTCAGCACTTTTCTATAAAACTTACCTTATCATATGACACTAGTTCAACTTCATAATACACAGTTGAATTAGAAGGAATTACAACCGACTCCTGTTGGGACTCTGACGCACCAAATGCATACTCGGGAGCAATAGTCAATAATGCTACCTCACCCTTCTTCATAGTCAATACAGCTTTATCAAGTCCGTCAACGACTTGCTCTGTATAAAGTTTCAGCACATCAAACATTCACATAACAAAAAACAAATACTGAATTCAGAGGAATAGGTATTGGATAAAAACATATACAGATCTCTATTTACCCTCGTCTGTTTTGAATTCGAACAGCTTCTCTTCTTCATCACGGCCCTTTTCGAAAAAGACAGTACCATCTTGCAGCTTACCAACTAGTTTCACTGAGGTGTTGACAAAAAATGTTATCAGTAAAACATACTAAATACGTAAGTAAAAACAAAAGTCATCCTTCACATTGATTAGCAATTACGTTTTACAATGGCCCCTTCATTTGGACGCTCATATCCCTCCCCTTCCTTGAGGATCTTCTTTGTAACCTTCTTGTCGCTAGTCACTTCTGAAACAGTCTTCCAAGAAACCAACTCAAGCGTAATCTGTAGTGATGCATTTGGTAGAACTGCACCTTCATCACCGTGTGCTGGTTTCCCCTTCTCACCAAATCCATCTATGATGCAACAAAGAAATCATAATACTTTTTGAACAAATAATAATAAAACATGGAAAGATTATGAAGTATGTAGTCACGAGTATAAAATATCACCAAAGCATTCAGTATTCTGTGCACAACTTACATTGAGGCTTTACTAATAAAATCACTTTCTCTCCCTTCTTCATGGTTTTAACAGCCTTTGAGATTGCAGGGCAATAATGACCTATTATAGATTAAATGTCAATTTCAGATACCGACAAAAAAATATCAAAAATGTCTTTTATCGAAGTTTTCAGGCACTGACCCTCACTGACAGTGAACTCCACTCCATCAGACTTTGCTACAAGCGTTCCATCACCCAGACAAACCTTATACTTAACTGCATTGATAATGAGTAAAATGAACAAATAGTTAAGAATTAGCGAACTAATGCAGGCATTAAAGAAACCTAATTATATGAGATGTGTATATATACCCAATACTTCATCGGGATCCTTGGGGTTCTCCCATTTCTCCCCTTCACTGAGTATCCTCTTCAATATACCGCCATCTTTAGATATGTCCTTCACACTCGTCCAAGACAAGAGCTCAATTTCAAATAGGAGTGTCGCATTAGGAGGAATTGTGGGAGGTGAACCAGATTCACCATAAGCTAGCTCGGGTGGGATGGTGAAGAGTGCAATTTCACCTTTCTTCATGGTTTTAATACCTTCATCCCATCCTTGAATTACTTGCCCTGCATATTAGTTACACGAATTTCGTTGTGATGTTCTAATATTTAGCTTGTCAAATCTTCAAATCAAAATACATATGAAATTCACTAAAAATTTGTGTGCCATTACTCATACTGGTTAAATATTTTATCATGATTTTCTAACAAACATGATTTCAGTCATGGATTCTTCATGATGAACTGAGCATAAGCATGTAATAAAAAGTATATAATGAAATGAAAAACATTCATTATATTAAAAGCACAAATTACGCAACACTTCTCAAAATAGTAACAGTTACAATAGGAAACATTTAATAAGTAATATCATCAAACTTATTACACTTTCATCAAATTACTTACTTCCTCTATTGTCTTTTGAAGTTGTTTCCCACAACCAAAGTGATAGCTTTGATCAATAAGCCAATTTCAAATATAAACTGATCTCTTATCAGTCCACTCCTATGATGTCCAATAGAGGCAATCGCACAAGATCGCGGCTTTGCAGAGCAGACTTGCCATCCACTGTGGAGCCTTTTGCAGGCGACCCACATTCTGCAGGCATAGTGTCCGTGACCGCAAATCGCACGTGAATTACAGTCGGATTTTATTGTGGCGGCCACAATTAGGTTAACACTTCAAAATTTCTAAGTTACCATCAACTAAATCTGTTCAGTTTATCCTTTTAGAGTGTTTTTGGTCGAGCAACTCTACCTCTTCTTCACACTCATTCACGAAGATTGATGTAACATTTTCTTCTGTGAAGCCTTTCTTCTCCTCCTTCATTGTTCTCTGACAGAACCAATGGTTCGCCTATCAGTTTCCAATGACAAAAACTGTTATTTCTAGTGAAGGCTACCGTGGCAGAGACTGAGACGTTTTCTGCCTATGAAGAACGGACACCTCAAAGAGTAGGTATATCGCAGTGTCTGACACTAGTTTGACATTCGTACGACATGTGTTGAAAAAGTCAGACAAGTGTCAAAAAAGTAAAACAAGTGTCCCCAAAAAATGGTTTTATTCTTTACTTCGACACTCTCTAACTCAGTACCTAACACTCGTATGACACACACACAACACGTGTTGGTCGTTTCGGACAATTGTTTAAAAAAATTGTTTTTATTTTTTTAACACACATTGTAAGATTATGGCGACACACATTGCAATTCGAGATCTGCAGACGGTGCTAATGATTTGGTCAATCTCAAGTCCGCATCTCGGCACGAGGTATTGTCCATTTTGGGTGTGAAAATATCCACAGCTCTGTCCTTTAGAAAACATATCTCATTGGATTAAAGAGTGTGAGTGTTGTATATAAATTATCTTTAATCTCCGTTCTCAAGCAATGTGAGACTATTCTGGTCAATCCAGAACAAATATAAACATTTGTTTTCCCAAAATGGACAAATATTTCCTAATAAAGTATATAAAAATGCTCCATAATCCTAACATTTGTTTATAGAAACTCAGTATTAAAAAAATTGAAAATACACTATACAGCTGTTTCTCATAACACTAGATTTTCACACAACTCACATATATAATCCACTCATTACATCAAATCAAATTTACAGTAGCATTTCTAAAATTCAACAAATACCTAAAATCCAAAAAAAAAAGAAAAAAGAAACAAAATTACAGTACTGACCTAGTCCAAGCATGAAGCTGAAAGGAGAATCTCTATCGAAACTCGAATCAAACTTAGTTCCATCAATCAAAGTCCCCGTATAGTGAACTAGAAACAATTGAACACAAGAAAAAATCAAAAACGAAAATAGAAAGTAACAAAACGACGTCGAAGTGGTTGTTCTTGTTGTTGTACCTTGAACTTCGTCTCCGGTTTCGGGAGTGTCCCATCCTTGACCTTCCTTGAGAAGCTTCTTCTTGAGGCCGCGATCGTTGAGTTCTCTCTCTTCGCCTACTTTGTCTTCCGGGAGATCGAAATCCTCGTTCATTTCCTCGGGTTGGGGGATGTCGAAGTCTTCGTCCATGGATTTTGTTGTTCGGAATCTTGCGGCTGGACAGTGAACTGAAAATCGTAATTCTGGAGAAGAAAGACGAGGTTTGAGTTTGACTTCACTATCAGAGTTTTCAAAGGAAAAACGAAGACTTTGGATATTTCTAAAATAATTGTCACATTTAAAAAAAGAATTTGTCTCAAAGTATTTATTATTTTATATTAATATAATTTTATATTTAATTTTTTGATTGTACTCTTTAATACATATTGTTAATTTTTTATCTAGTCCAATAGATCTAACCATAATTTATTATTCTTCCGCTTCCATATTATTTATTATAATTGATTATTTTATATAGATTAGAAAACACTAATAAATAAAAGAGAATAATGATTTTACTAAATGATAAAAATTAGTTATAATTCTTTATATGTGATTCTTATTATTTTTCAATGAAAATATGATAAATATACTTGAACATCATTTAATGAATGAAAATAAGAGAAATTTATATATGTATAAAAAAATTGTATATTTATCATATTTTCATTATAAAATAATAAGAATAATACTTTAAGAATTATGTCTAAATTTTGTATTTTACTGAATTATCTTAATTAATTATTAATATATTTAAATTAACTGTTAAACAAAAAAATAATATGGAATAAATAAAAATAAGTGATAAGTAATACAGTAAAATTTTACATACACAAGTAATGGCAAATGAAAATATTTCATTATGTAATGTTATACAATTAATTAAATAATTTTAATTTTATTTAATGGAATATATATTTATTATTGGTTGATGGTGTAAAAAAAATTTAGATGGTCAGTGTGTTATTTATTTTTTCATTTTTAAATATCAAATGAAGTGAAATAGAACATGATGAATTAATTTTATTTATTCGTTGTCTTACATTATATTTAATTGACAGTAAATTTTCAGAAAAGGTGTTACCACTTATCTATTTTTAAAAATTCTCTCATTCATGAAATCAATTCTTCGTTTCAATCTTTTTTCCTATATTTTTCTAGAATGGGATTAATGAATCGTATCTAAATTTAGAAATCTTCATTATAAATAGAGAGAGTTGATCCTTTAGAAATGACACCGAGGATACTCTTAAGTTTTTCTTTCTTTGCTTTCTTCTTTTTTCGTTTTTGATTTATTAGAGTACAATCTTCCTTCTATTTTCTACTCATCGAATTTTTAGATTATTTCTTGAATTCTCTTTAACAAATTATTTGAATTTTTCTTTGTCTGGGAAATCATTTAAGGTGTTTTTAGATGACCATTATTCGATGTGTATTAAAGAATGATGTTTATGTGCAATAGGATGGCGTTCAATTTGATTGGGTTGTTTTATTTCAATAGTCAGCTTGCATAATTTTAAACAATACCGCCAAATATTTTAAATAGAATGACCTAATATGCGACATAATCCATAAACACCTTATACAGCTCTATAAACACAAGGTTATTTTTATTGTACTTCTTTTAGCTGTTACATAAGTGGTTCCAAATTAAAATCAATAGTAAAAGCAAAATACACATCTACAATAAATGTTGTCTCCTCTAAATATGGAATCAAACATACACTTATCATGTCTCTATCGTAATTTTGATTCTTCTTATTGTTAGATTTTGATCTAACTCGTCCTTACAGAAACGACTTGTAAAGTCAGGGGTGACACTCTATATAAATTCTTTAGAAGTTCTATGTCTAACCAATATGGGACTTAGGATCTTCCTGATACACTCTCTCACATCCAACACTCTTTTGTGTTTGGTGCATGGATTTGAACGGTGGACGGCCCAAGGTCTGATCGATAGACTCTAATATCGTATTAGAGTTTGACATAACTCATCCTTATAAAAATGGCTCGTATCCTATATAAACCCTATGTCTAACTAATATGAAACAGAATATTCTAATACTTATTTATGTAATTAAAGTAGATGTGTTTGTAGATGATATATGTAGGGCGTGTCCAATCAATTTTCTTTGATTTTTGTCTGCTCTTGACATTTTCATGCATACTTGAGCTCATATAATAGTTACTAACTTGCAGTTGTATGTCTTCTGCAAGATTAATTGGAATAATTTAACGATCCATATGCTCGGTACCATATAGTGTGACATGATGTTGCCTATATAGCTTGTCAGTCTTCTTGATCTTTCATCTTAAGTTATTTTATAAATTGTAATCAATCCACTTCTGCAAATTTAGATTGAAGAATATATCCCAATAGTTTTCTTTCACAGGTAGAATCCAAACATGTATAGCAATTTTACAGTCTCGTCGGGTATAAATAATAGATTCAACAACACCATCATAATTTATAAGCCCTACCAGACTTGAACACAGGTTCTTCCAAATAAAACATCATTTGCTTACCAACTAAGCTAAGCAAACATCTATACATGATTTTCATTTTCTTAAAAAAATATTGAATTTTAATTTTTTGAGGCCTAAAATATCTTTAAAATAATTTTTTTTTAGGCTCATGGCGAGGGCTTAGCCCGCCATACCCTTGGGCCGACCCTGATTCCTAAAATACTTTCCTTTCAACACTTGACACCATAAAGTGTTATATTCACTCTTTATTTTTTTGGTCTAACTTAATAACGCAAGATTTGTTCATGTTAGTAAGTTTCCTCGTTCCTAATCCACCATTCTCATATCACCGTGTGGATGTGTTTCTCAACTTCATTATCTCCCTATATAAGACTTTTTTGGATCCTTAAAATTTCCTTTAGACATTTTTTAGACACAACACAGTTATCATAAAGTACATGGGTATAACTTCAATGACAAGTTTTGCAAGGGATGTTCTCCTTGTAAAAGACAATTGTTTTCCTTTCCAACTTGCAAGTTTACTCTTAACTTTCTCAATAACATATTTTAAATCGTTCACCTTGTGTATTCTTCTAGTTATAGTCACCCCTAAATATCTACCCATCTCTTTTGTCTCCTTAAAACATGTCAACGGCAATATCTGCCTTCTAATTTAATTTAATGCGTTCTTTGAAAACAAAATAAAAGTCTTCTCAATACTAATCCTTTGTCCTGACATAGAATATAAATTCTTTAGAACATCTATAACACAAGTCATTTGTTTATTGGTGACTCTTTCGAGAGAAGAAATAAATCATCAACAAACATTATATGTGAAATAATTGGGCCACTTCTACCTACTTTAATACTCTCCTACATGCCCTCGTCAACTACCTGAATAATCATATAGAAAATTTTATCCATACACAACAAACAAGTATGCAGATATTAGATCCCCTTGCCTTAAAACTTTTCTAGGAGCAAATTAATCATCATTCTCTCCATTCCACACGACATTCATTCTAACTGATTTAATGGTTTCCATAATCACATTCCTAAGCTTCTCAAGATTACCAGCTTCTATCAGCATATTACCAATAAAAATCCAACTAATTTTATAATAAGCTTTATATAAGTCCACTTTGATAGAAGAGAATCCCACCCTTCAGTTTTTGCAAACTATGGAGCATCTCTTGAGTTACCACAATGTTTTCATGTATGCTTCTCTTAGAAATAAAGTCAGCTTGATAAGGACGCTATATCATCTATACACATATTTAGCTTATTTAGCATAACCTTTCCTAAGATTTTATAGATTCAATTGCAAAGGGAAATAGACCTAAATTTTTGGACATACTTAGGATAAGAGACTTTAGTAATCAAACATATATCAGTTTCGTTCACCTCAGTTATAAAATTAGGATTTTCCCCCCCGAGTTCTTTATATAATTACGTACGCTTCCCCTCGTGACTCTCAAAGTGTTTTGGTAAAACCCTTATAGGTAACCATGTGTACCTAGAGCTTCCAAAGGGGGTATATCAAAGGATACTTTCTTAATCTCATCCTTATTAAGATCTTTATTCAATGGAAAAAGCATATTAACATCTAACCTATGAAAGGTACCATGAGTATATACCCAATTGGTAATTTCAACCTCAGTTGTGAATAAATTTCGATAACAATCATTAATCATCTTATTTATTTTCCTTAAGTCTTCAATATTGTCTCAATGGTCATATCTAAGGATTGTTATAGTATTCCTTATTCTCCTTTGAATTGCCTTGTCATGATAGTACATAGTGTTCTTATCCCTATCCACCAACCATTTTGCCCTAGAGCATTGGAACCAAGCTAGTTCCTCCGTGTAAAGGATCTTAGTCATGTCATGTTGAATACTCTTTTTCAAATGCCTAATACCATAATGTCATTTCCCATTATGTGTAGCAAGTTGAATACCTTTCAATCTTCCTATAAGTTAATTTTTATGTTTATGAATATTATGAAGTGTATGCATATTCTAATTCACAACTTACTTTTGAACTTAATCTAGATTATTGATAAAGTTATTATTAACATCCATACATTCAGAATCATGCCATCATAAGCATCTTATAAAATCCAAGCACTCTCAAACTTGAACTTCTTCTCCTTTCTCCTAGCCTCATTATTTTGAGTAGAAACAAGAATTGGATGATGATTAAAAAATTCCAAACAAGTGAGCACTTTAACTGAAGCATCTGGAAAATGAAATCTTCAAGCTTCGTTGCACAAACGCATGTCTAATCATTTATAAACTCTCGAGCCTCCATGATAGATTGGACATTTCCAAGTGAATTTATGCCTAATAAAACCAAAGTCCATGAGATTATAAGATTCAACCCTACTCTTGAACACACCACATTTTCTATGAGATATAGGCTCTCCTTCACTCTTTTTGTGGCGTCCATAATATTATTTAAATCTTCTACTAATAACCATCCACAATTCACCTCCAAAGCAATACTTTTAAACTCTTCCCACAACTTTTTCCTACCTTTTTATCTAGGGCTAGCGTAGATAAGTGAAGAACCAATCTTTTCCACCCACATACTTAATCTTCGCATACATGAACTGGGAGTGCTTCTCCAAAATCATAACTTCTACTTTTCAGTTTCCAATGTCATAACTACTCCACCAGAATAAC